TTTCTAGTATAAATTTTCTGATGCAGCAAAATTTATGAACTCTGAATTAAAGTAATCATACCTTTATTATATTCTAAAGGTTTGTGTTACAAAATGAACTAGTGTTCAAAAATAGGAGATGGTAAAAAAATTCATACATTTTTTTACAACATTCATAAAATATTCGTACCATTTAAGTTCTCTAGTAGCATATACTCATGATTATAATAGCAATGATAATTAAAACAGGGAATTAGATAACTGTCCATATGGTATTATATGTGCTAGTTTTTATTTAGTCATCATATCACTGCAGTACTTTACAAATAAATAAACTGAGGCACAAAGAGGCTAAGTAATGTATCCAATTACAGTTATGAAATGGTGTAACTGAGATGATGCTCAATAAAGAATATGCCTCACCATCATACTTCAAGGCTATGAAGATTTAAAAGATATTCATGAGTTCCAGAAGTCATTTCTGCATTCGTTAACTTAACATTTTTTAAAAAAGAAAAGAGAAAAACATTCCTATTGAGTCAATTCCAACTCATAGCGGCCGTACAGGACAAAGTCAAACTGCTGAATCAGATTTTCAATGCTGTAAATCTTTACAGAAGCAGATTGTCACATCTTTCTTTCAAGGAGCAGCTGGTAGGTTCAAACCACCGACCTTTTGGTTAGCAGCCAAAAGCTTAAGCACTGCACCACCAGGGTTCCTAACTTAACATAAGCTTTCTAAAAATGGGTTGATTCTAAGCTGAAGCAAAAGAATTTCCTACATTTGAGTCCTACAATCACAATATGGGATTTCTAATAGAAAAGAGCAACTGAAGACAGGTGAAGACTTCTTTATATTAAATTACATTCAATGGCCTTCTTAATTATGAAGCCTCAGATGATGAGTAAGTCGTGAATGATGTCTAAAGTCTTTACCACATTTTACACATGTATAGTTTCTCACCAGTACGGATCCTTTGATGCAGAGTAAGTTATGATCCATGACTAAAGGCCTTTCCACATTCCCTACATTCATAAGGCTTCTCCCCAGTATGAGTTTTCTGATGTTCAGTAAGGTGTGAACCACGAATAAAGGCCTTCCCACATTCCTTACATTCATAGGGTTTCTCATCTGTATGAACTCTCTGGTGCTCACTAAGCTGTTTGTAACAATTAAAGGCCTTTTCACATTCTTTACATTTGTAGGGTTATTCATTAGTATGAATTCTCCGATGATAAGTAAGTTGTTTAGCACGAATAAACACCTTTCCACATACCTTACATTCATGTTTCTTACCATGAATTTTCTGATGTTGAGTAAGATATGCATCACAAATAAAGGCCTTTCCACATTCCTTACATTCAAAGGGTTTCTCACCTGTATGAACTCTCTGATGCTCACTAAGCTGTCTGCAACAATTAAAGCCCTTTTCACATTCTTTACATTTGTAGGGTTTTTCATTAGTATGAATTCTCTGATGTTGAGTGAGATGAGAATTACAAATAAAAGCTTTTCCACATTCTTTACATTTATAAGGTCTCTCACCTGTATGAACTCTCAGATGGTATGTAAGGTGTGATCCCCGAAAAAAGGCCTTGCCACATTCTTTACATTCATAGGGTTTCTCACCTGTATGAACTCTCTGATGCTCAGTAAGATGAGAGGCACATAAAAAAGCTTTCTCACATTCTTTGCATCTATAAGGCTTTTCACCAGTATGCACTCTCTGATGATAAGTAAGGTGTGAACCAAGAATAAAGGATTTTCCACATTCCTTACACTCATAGGGTTTTTCACCACTATGAATTCTCTGATGATAAGTAAGTTGAGAGCTAAGAATAAAAGCCTTTCCACATTCTTTACATTCATAAGGTTTTTCACCACTATGAGTTCTCTGATGCAGAATATACTGTGAACAATAACTAAAGGCTTTTCCACACTTCTTACATTCATAGGGTTTCTCTCCTGTATGAACTCTCTGATGTTCAGTGAGCTGTGAGCCACGAATGAAAGCTTTCCCACATGATTTGCACTGATAGGGTTTTTCATTAGTATGAATTTTCTGATGTTGAATCAGATCAGAACTACGACCAAAGGACTTGCCACATTCCATACACTCATATGGTTTCTCACCAGTCTGAATCCTCTGATGTGGACCATAGCTTGGTTTTTTGCTAAAGGTCTTCCTACATTTCTTAACTTCAGAATGTTTTTCTTTATTATGAGTTTTCTCATGCTGAATAAGGCATGACAGGTAACGGAAGGCTTGTCTACATTCCTTACATTTGTACAATTTTTCCTTTGTAGGAATTATTTGATGAAGAGTAGGGGTTGCGGAATGACTCTGCGTGGTCTTTTCTTCACAGGTTTTCACATGTATGGAAAATGTCCCCTGATTTCTCTGTTGACTCTCAAACTGACCTTTGTAGGCCATGTCTCCCAGACTCTTGTACTCAAGGTTATGACTTAAAGGTCTTCCCAATGTCTCCCACTGGAGTGATTCCATTTTATAAATATTGTTTTCTGGAGAAGACTTCTTGGTCTCACAGCCAGATTCCAAATCTGTAAGATAACAAGAAAGCAAATTCCTGCTGTTTTTGTTTTCTGGGAGAAATAAAACTTTTAAGGTAAAACTGATAGATGAAATGAAAATAATTCTCATTAAGCACAGAATGGCTTAACAACAAAAACCCAAACCCAATCCATTGCTGCTGAGTCAATTCTGACTCTTAGTGACGCTACAGGACAGAGTAGAACTGCCTCATAAGGTATCCAAAAGCCATAATCTTTTTTTTTTTTTTTTTTTTACTTTTTACTTTTATTGCGGTGGTAACATACACAAGAAGACATTCTTCAACATAACAATTCCATTTACAGCTCAGGGACAATAACGGTATTTTTCATGTTGTGCCACCATCATTGCTATCCTTTTCCAAAATATTCTACCACCATTAGCATAAACTCACTGCCCCATAAACAGAAGCTTCCCCTTTCCCCCTCCTTCCTAACCCTGGTAACCACTAATAATCTTTGATTTCTATATATATATTTGTTGGTTTGCTTTTTCAACCTATCTAGGAACTTACAAGGCTGTAATCCTTACAGTTGTTGTTGTTATGTGCCGTCGAGTCGGCCCCGACTCACAGCGACCCCTCCTTGGGTTTCCGAGGCAGT